CCTAATTTTCTAGCTCGTGGATCGGCTTGATTCGATCCAAATTTTGTTGGAAGCCCGAGCAACCTGACATGGACTTGTCCGAGCTCGAACTTGGGCAGACCGAGCCGAGTCCGGATGACTCTATGTAATAGGGACAAAAACAAATGAGGTGGGTGTATTTATTCTAACAAAACAATGAAAAAATTAATAAAATATAAACAATAAGTTTAAAATATTGTGGAGGAGATTGCCCCCACTTCTCCCAACATTTCACTGGATCAATCCTATGTGATTCTATAATTAAATAACTTAAAAGTATATGTACAAAACAAGAAAATAGTAATTTAACACATACATATATATATATATATTTTAACATATATATATATATATATATATGTTAATATCATCTAGTGAAATGCTATTCTCTAGGTGGAAATGGAGAGATCCCTTTTTAAGTTCCGTAACTAGTCAGGTGAAATTATTTATTTTTATTTTTTTTATAATTTTTTTTGTAAGGTCTTGTTAATGATTGATTAGCAAGTGTATGTTAAAAACTAAATAATATAAATAAATAAAAAATCAATACTTTTATACATTTTTTTTTTAATCATAAACCAACATTAATACGGATGGTTAGCATTTCCTTTTTTGTGAAGTTTGAAAAATAGATTCTTTCGACAACTTGCACAAATACAAAAAGACCTTTTGTGTTTCAAGGTTTGAATACAAGTTTTTTTAAATTGATCGGGCTTCATGTGTTAGTAGTTATGAAAAATGTTTAGTAACTCAAATTTGTGTGGTTTAAATGGTTTGAATGTATTAAAACGACATCGTTTTGTCCCTAAAATAACGTCATTTTGAGATATTCAAGTCATTCGGGTCATGAATATTTGGACTACCAAGCATTGTTGTAGTAGTTATAGAAAAACAACATAACTTTATATTTATATTTCTCTTTTGGATTTTAAAAATTTATGTTTATATTAAATATTGTAATAAATATATAAATTTATATATTTGATATGCATATCTCACGTGTACCTCACATTATTTATAAAAAAAAATGTGTTGATATGTCCATATCGCGATCAATCATTTTGTGCAGTGAGAATTGTACAACAAATAAAAATAAGAACAATTTAAATAGATGATATTTGAAAAAGAAATTCTCCCCAAGACCCGAGATCTTCATCTTAAAATTCTTGTTCCTCTTTTGTGAATACAATTTTTGTCATTTTTTATATGATTGAAGGGCGATTTGGGAATGCTGTTGTGCCTTAAGACATACAATCTATTGTGAGCCTCATTCATAGGGTCTTTTTCAGTTTTATTTTGATAATCTAAATCATTCGTTCATACTGTAGGATTTGTCGAATAGAGTATCCACAAAAAAAATCAAGTCAATTGACCATCCATAATCACATGATTAGAAACTTAAAAAAAAAAAAAAATAGATAGTCTATTATCAAAATTATGATTATTGTTTATTTTTTTATTTAAATAATTGTGATATTGTTATGTGATGACAAACGTTCGATTAACTTGATTTTTTCATGAAAGATTTACTCAACTAACCTTACAATAAGAATGATTTAAATTAGCAGGCTAAAGCACAACAACATTCCCAAATCTAATTGAAGAGGTTTTTCATTTTTATTTTTTAATGTAATTTCATAGATTTATCTTATAGGCTAATACCACTATATTTGTGCATAGATATAAGCAATTTATCTTACATCTTTAATCTAATACTGCTATACTAGTAATTTTATTACTCAATTCTATTATACTCATAATTGCACTCCACGTAATTTGAAAATCAAACAAACCTGTAAGACCTATTTGATTACTTTGAGTATTAGTGATGGAATCAACAATCTCATGGGATTAATAATCTCATGTGACAATTATGTGTAGAATTGTTAATACCTACTATCCTTTGTTATTAAATATACTACAACTTTGTATGTTTAAGAGTCTTGTGTAGTATTACTAAGTTAGATGCTATTTTTATAATCCAAATGTAAGAATATAAATTTGATAAGATTAACAGTTCAATCCTATGTCCTTATTCTAGAATCAAACATGCCCTTATAATATTGTTTTAATCCTAAGCAATTTAATGAGTCACATACACATGTTTTATTTTACAAAAATATCGCAAGACTACAAAAACTCTTTAAAGTAGGGGTGCAACTCGAGCGGGTTCGGTCGGGTTCGGAGGTTATCCAAGCCCAGTCCAAGTTGTGCTAAACCTTACCTAGGCATGAATTGTAACCCGAGGTTTCCTACACAAGCCCGACCCGAGTTAAACCCGAATTGTCCGAGTTGTCCGAATTGTAAATGAATTTTAGTTTTTGTTTTTTTCAACTACATTATTAAATTATTAAAATTTGACTCTATTTACATTTTTTTTATATAGAAAATCATTAATACCACCAAAACAAATAATTTATATAATGTAAGAGAGATGCACCTATAGTAGTCCTTACAATTTATGAGTGAAAATAAAAAAAGAATAAAATTTTATGTTATTCATATATAATAATATATATTCAATATGATTTAATAATCTAAATTACTTTAATATCATGTAATGGTTAATAATTTATATGTATATTTGATATTTTTATATATCAGTATATGTATAATTCGGGTTTCGGGTTGCTTGGGTTGTTTGATGTCTTTGCCTAAGCCCGCCCAAATTTAATTCAGGCTTTTGAATTTTTGTCCAAGCCTGCACCGAATTAAAAAATATTTTGTCCAAGCCCTAAAAAAATTCGAATTAGGTCTGAATTGCTCTAATTGAGCCCGCCCAAATTACACCCTCCCTTTAAAAGGTGGGATTAACATTCCCATGAGGTACTGGGATTCACAGTCCAATCTAATGTGATTTGAAGTGAAAATACTATCTAACTGTTATTTTATAAAAATTTATAAATTTAATCACAACTAACTAAAACTATTATATTAATACATAAACAAACAAAATCTATCTTATAGGTCCAATCTAATACAAACATATGGCCTTATTTTACATATTATTTAGGGAAAATTATGGAGGTGAAACAAATATTTATTAATGGGTGAGAATTAATTTTCTTGGGGGTGTAACTTTGCTATGTTTTTTTTTTTAAAAAAAAATTTACACAAAAAGAGTTGTATTCCATGTATTTGTAATTATTTTTAGTTAGTGGAAAGTGGAGCAAATATTTACTAAAGGGTGAGATTTTTTTTGAGGTACAACTTTTGCTATATTTTTACAAAAAAAAAAAAAAAAAAAAAAAACACTTCTTATATGTTAGTAATTATTTTTATTCATGTGTACAAATTTATAATTTTCTTAAGAAAGTGATTTGCAAACAAAAAAGTGACACAAAAAGTGAGCATTTGATTCGAAATGAATGGGCACAAAAAGTGAGCATTTGATTTGAAATGAATGGGTACAAATCTATCTTGATATTCTGTATAAATTTTATATTTATATATCATTATTTTTATTTCTTATTATTAATATTTTAATCAAATTATCAAACATTGCCTTGGATTTTAGTACTAGGCGAGGGTAGTTTTTAAGATTAATTACATTTAACTTCCAAACATCAGTTTACTTTTTATTTATTTACTCATGAATTTGTATATATTGATGGTTCTAATTATAAAAATCATGTAAATAACTTCTTTTTGGAGATGGTGTACCAAGAGTAAAAAATTCAAAATGCACTAATTTATAAATAGAAAGAATAAAACAAATTCGTTAATAATTGAAAATTGTAACTAATAGAAATAACCCTAACAAAATGTGAGAGGACTACAAATCACAAAACCTCATTAGAATTGCAAATGAACCAAATTGTTTGAGAGCTGGCTTGGCTTGATTCATCTCATTTAACAAATGAACCAAGCTTAGTCTCGAATATTAGGTTTGTTTAGTAAACGAACCGAATTCGAATTTGAACTCGAATAAACTTCATACGTAAAACTTAATTCATTTCTCTTTATTTAAATTATATAATAAATATATTATTTATATATTAAATAGTATAAAATATGTATATATAATAGCATTAATACATTATTTATATTTAAAATAATATAAATAATATTTGTATTTAAATTTATTATTAAATAATATATAAATATATTATTTATATATTTAAATAATGTAATTTTTAATAATAAAAAATTAATTATCAGTCTTCAAGCTGAGCTCGAAATCAACTAATAAGGTAAATTACACTTTACACCCCTGCACTTTGCATCAAATCCCAATTTGGCCCTACACATGAAATTATGACAAAATCTTACTTTGGTTTCTACACATGAAATTGTGATAGTTAACCCCCTGTATTTTTGGTCAAATCCCTTATTCGAATTTTTTATTTAATAGAATTAACTAAAAAAATGAAATTCATAATTGTTTTCCTATACAATAATAAAATAATCTAAATTATTAATTGAAATATATTTTTAGCATCATTAAAACCTATTAATTGACTTGATGATTTATTAATACAATGGGCGGTTTATTATAAAATTAGAAACCTCAGGAGTGAACTGTAATTTTCAAAATCACAGGGAACAATTCGTATTTTAATCAAATTTCAAGAGATGTATTTGTAATTTATCTTATTTTTTAACCTATAACGAAATATCAAAATAAAAATAAATATAAAAGAAATTTAATATATAAAATTAATAATTAATAATTATATACATAAAAAATATTATATAAAATTAATTTATATTATATACATAAAAAATATTATGTAAATATTTAATAATTAATTAAAATATTTTTTAATCCGCCAATTCGTCCAAAACTGCCCAAGTCATAATTATAATTCAACATAATTAACCTATTATTTAATTTATAATTTCACTTTTAAACCATACGAACCCATCACCCAAACCCGTAGCCCTCCGTACTACTCTCGTTGCTCGGGCCACCACCCCATTCCCCCTCATGATTATTATTACCAATGAATATTTTCATCTCTTTTCCCAATTTACCCCCTCTTCTTTCCCTTAATTACTCTTCATTTCCATTTGTTCTTCTAATTGCTTCCCAGTCCTCTCCGTCGCTTGAGATTATAGACAGAGAAGATAAAGCTCTGAATTTGTCATGGACCGATCGATCTTTTCCTTCTCCAGGCTCCATTCATTCTCATAGAATCAACCTTACCCCCATGTGAGCTCCTCGTAACTCACATCTCTCTCTCTCTCTCTCTCTCTCTCTCTCTCTCTCTCTCTATATATATATATATATATAATAATCATAATCTGTTTCATCGTGATTGCATTGTAATTTTTTTTTTCTAATTCATTTTTATTATAGTGGGTTTTGATTTATTTTTTTTGGGTACTAATTTGTTGGAGAAGCTAGGGTTCATCCTTCTATGATCTATTATTAAATATGGATTTATGTGCATATTGTTAAATTATGAATTTTTTTTTGTCGTACCGGTTCAGTGGATGTGGATTGGGATCCATGTTGGATCTATTGTGTTTTGTTTTTATATATATACTGCTGTTGCCTTTGTTTTTGATTCAATAGTTTTTTTTTTTGGCTATTATACTGATCTTGGGTTGTGTTTTTGTTTTTTAAAATTGTCTTGGGTTTTTGCTGGGATGGAATTTTAGCACATTGCCTAGGGCTTATCAAATTGCTTTCTTTAAGCTGGAGTTTCATGGGTTGAACTCATACTATGATGGGCAGCTTCCGTGACGAAGAATATCGATTCTTTGATGCCCATGAAGGCATGGCATCGGCATCTGATTGCCTTATGTCCTCCGATTCTAGTTTCGGTGTTGATAATGGGGTATCAACTAGTTTCGAATACCAAGCGTGGACTAAAATCCCTCAAAGCGTTCAAGAGCGCCGTAGTAAATTCTTGAATTGGATGGGGGGTTTGAACTCGGATCAAATGGTGTCGGAGAATCAGGTAGTTGAATGCAGTGATCTGCGTGAAGAAGAGATTGACAGAATTACGAAGGATAGTGGAGCAGTACTGAGGACATCAAGCTTTGAAGATGAGTTTACTTCAAGCCGGTCTTCCATGTCAAGTTGGGCCAATGATGTTTTTGATGTGCCGGAAGAATGTGGCTCAAATGTATGCAGAATTGGGAATTTGGGCAGTGGAACAGTGTGTAGTGTAGATGAATTGGGGAAGAAAGGTGAGCAGCCTAAACTTCAAGTATTGGGTGTGGACCAATTGGTGCTGCCTGAAGGGTTTGAGAACAATTTTGATTCATCTCCTGCAGTCCAGCAATCTATGCGAAGAGAAACTGAGGTTGCTAGCAATTTAGTGGGGACGAAGAATAGAGTTAAGAACAAGTGGTTGAGTAGACTACGTTCCATGACACGCATTGGAGATAGGCAAGGGGGAGCTAATAATTTAAGACCCACTCACCCCAACCCTGTGCGGAGGGCTAGGGTTCAAAGAGTTAAGGTTCGCCATTGCAGAAAGCGGTGGAAGGAACTCTCTGCTCTATTTATAGGGCAAGATATCCAGGCACACAAAGGTTCAATTTTTACAATGAAATTCAGCTTTGATGGGCAGTTCCTTGCCAGTGCTGGTGAAGATTGTATTGTGCGTGTGTGGCAAGTGGTGGAGGACACAAGATCAATTGAAAGTGACATTCCAGACATTGATCCTTCGTGTGTTTATTTTACCGTGAATCATCTTTCTGAGCTGGCACCCCTCGTTGTGGAGAAAGAGAAATCTAGCAAATTAAAGAACCTAAGAAAAACAGAAGACTCAGCTTGTGTCATCTTCCCCCCAAGGGTTTTCCGGATATTGGAGGAGCCACTACATCAGTTCCATGGGCACAACGGTGAGATCTTAGATCTGTCATGGTCGGAGAATAATGTAAGTTATTATTGATTGTATAGTAGTTACTTTTCCCCATATGTTAAATTGGATTTTTATGATCTCTGCTCTTGATGCAGTTTCTGCTTTCATCATCTGTTGATACAACTGTTCGTTTGTGGCAAGTGGGATGTGGGGATTGCATTAAAGTTTTTCAACATAATAATTATGGTGTGCCCCTGGCTATTTTCTGTGTTTCTTCCTAATCTAGTTTTGATGTATGTGTATTAGGCAAGGTTGATTGGTCAACTAGGACAATCATTAGTTGTGATTTTATATAGAGTTTGTGATTTTTTAAAACAATACTCTTATGTCATGCAGTGACTTGTGTTCAGTTTAACCCTCTGGACAGTAATCACTTCATCAGTGGTTCCATAGATGGAAAAGTTCGAATTTGGGAAGTTACTGGTTGCCAAGTTGTTGATTGGACAGATGTAAAAGATATTGTCACTGCCGTGTGTTATCGCCCTGATGGGCAGGTTTGGTGATTGTCTTTGTCCTCTCATCTTGTTGGATTGAGATGTGGTCTTATAAACTTAAGACAATTTAATTGAAAAGTTTCCTCATTTTTCATACAGGGCGTGGTTGTTGGCTTCATGACAGGGACTTGCCGCTTTTATGACATATCAGGTAACTCCTTATATTACCTTTCCAAGAGAATTATTGCTTCTATTACTATACTACTTGGGATATTGGATAAGTATCCATTATGTTTTTAGCATCTAGGATGGTTGATTGATGTTCTTTTGGTTAATATCTGAGAGTGTGATTGCTTTTCTGGTTCGTCACAACATATACATGCACATTGAAGCATATTTTTTTTCTCATTTCCTTTTGGTTTTCTCGGGGAGGTGCATATGCCACTTACATGATTGCTTGCTATTGGATTCAAGAGTTTTAAATACCACGTGGTCTTGTTAGTTTTTCTGGGTTTAGCAAGGAGTTGGAATTTAATGTGAGTGAGAAATAGCAGGTTGTGGTATGAAGAGTTCCCAAGCTCAAATTTTAGTGCTAGTGCGGGCCATGTAATTTGGTTAATTGAAAAACCCTTCAGTAAATGAGTTCTTGTATCTGGCAAAAGTGGAAATACTTATCTGGTTGTCTTTATGATGGAGATCTCTTCATATATTGCATTTCTTACGTTGGTAAAAAGGAGTAGACTTCTTTCCATATGACCATATGTATTAGAAAGGTGAAAGGGATATCTAAGCTTCAAATTGCTCAAATAGTCCCCAATATAAAGACCATCTTGCACAATTATAGGCCTTAACAACAATAGACTGACTTAAATGCCTCTGATTTTGAAAAGAAATTAGAAGGTTGGTATCAAAAGGGTATACTGCCTTTATACGAAAGAGAGAAAACTATACCAAAACCTATACAACTTTCATTACTCATGACAATTAAAGTTTGTACTCTTGGATCTCAAAAGTTGACTTGCAAACTTCAGTTGATATGGCTTTCTATATGGTGGGTCACAAAATGATTTCTGAATCCCATAGTTTCCCAACAAAACTTTAGATTAACCAACTTGTCTTTGGTTTGCTTGGATCAGATGATCACTTCCAACTGGAAGCTCAGATATGTTTACACAGTAAGAAAAAAACACCATGCAAGAGGATAACTTGCTTCCAGGTTGTCATCTCTTATCCATTTGTGCTTTCGTTGTTGCTTCTTTTTGTTACAAATTCACTTTTTGTTCAGCTAGATTTACAATTCATCCTAATTTTGTTATTTGACTGCAGTTCTTCCCGCAAGACCCGAGTAAACTAATGGTCACTTGTGCAGATTCACAAGTCAGAATTCTTCATGGGATTAATGTGGTTGGAAAATATAAGGGTAATCTTCTTTTGTCTTAGATTCTTCCTAGATGGATGGCATATTTGATGACTTGTTTTTTTATTTTTATTTATGCCATCTCTGTTTCCAACAATTTGAGTCCTGTGGCAGTTTACTGCATTGTATCAGTAATTTATTGATTTGATTTCATACTTGAACATTTATACACTCTTTACTGGGTACTTTTTTGTGAAACCCAAATGTTCATTTCACATAGTATATCATATTCAGAGAGTAATCTTTTGTTAACTCTGTTCTTGAATGCAAGCCTCTTTAAACCTTTATATCAATGCTAATCTCTCTCTCTCTCTCTCTAGGCGTTCGTAATACAGGAAACCAACTTTTTGCATCTTTCACTTCAGATGGAAAGCATATAGTCTCCACATGTGACGATTCTAATGTATACCTATGGAACTGCATTAATCAGGAAGAGCATTCTCTGTCCCAACCAAAGATAATTAGGTCTTGGGAACGCTTCTCCACCAATGCATTGATCGCTATACCTTGGTCTGGCTTGAAATCTGAAAATTCAGGAAATGGATGGCAACTTCCCGCCTTAGATGAGTCTTCACTGAATGCATTGCCTTTACCTTCACCTACTCGTTTCTTTCTTGACCAGGAGTTTATTTTGGAGTCTTTTCCCAAGGGATCTGCCACATGGCCTGAGGAGAAGCTGCTTAGTTCAAGTCCACGGGCTGTGAAAACTGCACTGCATAAATCTCAATATAAGTTTTTGAAATCTTCTTGCAAGAGCACATCCAGTTCTCATGCTTGGGATCTGGTTATTGTTACTGCAGGCTGTGATGGACGTATTAGATCATTCCACAATTATGGTTTACCGGTGGCACTTTGATATCCTAGATACTTGCAGAGTTTTGTAGAAAATTGGCAATGATTTATTTGGTTGAGCATTTTGCTTTCCTTAGTATGGGTTAAATGCTCTGCAAATTTATTGTTGGATGGGCTGGCATATAAAAAGTTAATTTTGGCAGCATCAAAACTCCTTGTCGGATTTGATTAGTTCATTGGGCATCTGTAATATGGATGATTTTTTAGGATTTTCGGTTTTCCAATGGGCCTGCTCTCATGTTAGGTCATGACGGGTGGCAACAGTTCCCATGTACTATAATCTGGCCATTTGGTTCATTTGATGGTGGGTCTGCCACACAGCTAGGATTGTGTTAAAGTTGTGTTGTGAGGCATGCTTCTTTTGCTAAATGGAGGGTTCATCTTTTCTGCTCTCTGCAGAAGTGTTGGTAATTCATCTTTGATTGTGGATCTCATTTTTCTAGTCAAATCCTTTCTGCTTCCGTTTTTTGGGAATCCTTCCTGTTCTTGGGGAATCCTTCCTGACTGGCGTGCCGGTAATCTCTTTTGTTTCACTAACAGAGTCCATAAATGTGATCTTTACATTTTGCATCTTACTATGCAAGTTTTGGAGTTACTAGTGGTTTGAATTTCAAATTTTAGTATGTATTTACTTGTATTTTGGTTATATGTACATAAATTCCCTAGTGCATTGGCAAAGGGGGAAAAAAATTATAATGTAGCTTTTTTCCCATGTATACGCTACAGCTTTAAAAGTCAATAAACAAAAAAAAAGAGGGATCAAGTGAGAAACTGGCTTGAGCCTTTCCACTGTTATGGTTTCATGGATATTGTCTGTTAATTGGTTTGCTTCATTGAAGAAATTCATTTTAGTTTTTTTGTTTTTTAATGGGTTTTCTGGAACATGAGATAAAAATTGTTGGTTCTAGTGGAGATTAGTGGTAAATGGTGTCGGTTCTCCACTGGGTATTGCTATTTTGGCAATGTCAAATCTATAATTTGGCATGTTACAAAGTGTCAAATTTTAATAATGTTGCTTTATTGGGACAACTGCCATTTTGGCGCAAGCAATTTTTCCTCCTTTCTTAACCATTATTTTTTAACAACCCGCTTTTATTATGCACTGTTGGATGGGCATCATCGACCCAGATCATCGGATTACCATTGTATTTCAACCCCTTCCTTGAGAACTCTCACTTTCAAAACTCTTTGCGTCTCACTTTCACTGATAAGATCTTGTACAATATTTGGACAACCATAGAGCTCTCTCAGTCTCTGGATGATGGTTGCTCTTAACAATAATGATTGGGATGATGATGGTAAGATCACGAGCGTTCAATCTTGAAGCTGTACCAGAGATTTGTTCAATGAAGATGTGGGCGATTTGGACAACGGTGAGACCATAGCCCACTATCTTGAAGCCGTACGACAGATGAGTTTAATGAAGATGTGGAAGAGATGAATTCAGTGAAGGTGCGGATGATTTGGACGAAGATGGGTTCACGATCTCCTTTCTCAGCAAATCTAGCCTCCATTTGGGAAGGAAGGTTTGGATTAAAATAGTCATATAAGACAAAATATCACATTCAACTCATAATCATTACATTCTTTTTTTCACAAAAAGTCAAAAAAGTTAAAAAGTCTTTTCCAAACGAGGCTTTTTAGCCTCAGGTTAAAATAATCAAAAAGTCAACCCACTTTTCAAAAGAAATATGTTGCATGGCTTGATTTCTTGATTTACGTTTATATTAATTTATTGATATTGTTTTTATTGTGTTAATTTTTGTGAGATTTTGTGACCAAGTGATTTATTTGCGCTTTATTTTTGTGATATTTGTATTAAATTTTGTTATTGTTTGTGAAATCAGTTCATGATTTTTGTGATTTGGTTGTGAAATAAAGTTAAACATGATTTTTTCTCATAATGGTTTCATTAAATGAACATTATTATTCTTTATTTGTCTCTGTGTTCTTGGGATGATAGGTTATAGTATCGTCATTCCCAGTGTATTTGGGAAAAAAATACCCATTTTGAGAAGATTAAAAAGATGTTTTTACAAGATGGTATGTGTTTTTTCCTTTAAAACTCTTTAGACTTTCCAAACTCAACGAACTGAAACATTTGAGTTGTTAAATGAAAGGAAATCAATTGAGACCTTGTTAATTGCAGCGAGCGAGCGAGGATTGCGGGTTTGAAGGAAGATTGTGCCGTAATTCTTAAAATAATTTGTCCAGTTAAGTCACTGGTGGCACAACCCGAAGACTAAAGTAGCATATTAAATTTAGACCACGGTTTTGTTATATCATATATATATATATATATATATTTGGGCGGAAAAGTTTAGGAGATCAAAAAATGTTCCTAAATTTTTATTGTGAAAAGTAAATCTATGATGTGTGCTTTAAGTTTTTGTTGTGTGACCAAACCTTAAGTGAATCCTAGCCATCAATTTCAATTTCTAGGTGTTTTTCTGAGTTCCTAGTTTCAGTTTGGCAGTCTTTTTGGCAACCCAGTACAGAAGGATTTTTTAGGAGAGTTGTTATAATTTAACAACGGCAATTATAGCATCTCACTTTTTAGGGGAGTTGTTATAATTTAACAACAGCGACAATTATAGCATCTCATTGGAGATTCTCTTAGTTGCAAAGCTTGAGTTTTTGTAGATGAGAATACAATGAGATGCTTCTGTTAAAAATTTTGAATAAAAAAAGATCATATGTAAATTAAAAAGACCATTTAGTCATTGTAATTGAACGGACACACAACCAACTTCAAATTTCTAGAATGCAAACATCATTTATAGCACCTTATTTGGCAGACCTACTGATAGAGTTGTATCATAATAACTATACCAATGTGAATTTCCAAACGATACTTCCATCTAATGTAAAACCAGTTATTCCGTTCTATGCCCTTTCTTAAGTTATGACTATATGTATGTCTAGAATTACTAAATCTTGTCCAACTTTTTTTTTTTTTCATATATGATATTACAATAAAAATCAATAAAGTAAATCCAACCAAAAAATAAAGAATGTGTCCATATTTAACAATGTTGGCACCACCTTCATCAAGCAATATCATTCGAGGATCTTGTCTCCAATTCTTCCATCATTCTATCTCAAAACACTAATAATTATTAGATTTAAGTGAAAAACTAAAATACATAATTTAACAACTATGAGTGTTTTTGGAACAAATGGACAGATTTTGGAACAAAGGATCCGCACCAACAGTGTTAAAAGTTATGGTATTAAAAAAAAAAAAGAAAAAAGAAAAAGAAAAAGCAGCATGCTCTACAGTGTACATATACACTACTTGACTTTTTAACACTTTTCTTAACAATCAACATGCGTCTAAAGAAACACATGACCGTAATTCTCAATAAATTTGCACATAAGAGCGACTATTCGATACACACCTAGTAATAGTTCTTCACAACTATGAAACCAACTCTGTGCCAAAACTGCTGCTTTAGATCACACAGAAACAATGGCTCATCTTGAAATACTCTAAGAATACAGGCAAACATTTTTTTTATCAGCAAAAAGAACTATTATTGATGAGTGAAAAGGATTACAATACAAGCATTTTAACAAAACATCAATAATAGAAAGAGACCTCAAGAGAGTTGCCTCAAGAACTTAGAGCGGCTTAACCCAACCATAATACCACCCTCTCCAAGACGAAACCAAGGACTCCTAATGAAGAGAACAATCTGAAACTATAAAAGCATCCCACAAAAAAATAAAAAATAAAAGAGAAAAAAAGAAAAAAAAAAGAGAGTATATATTTAATAATAATAAAATAAAATAAAAAAGCAAACAGTGAACTACACCGCACCATCCGCAAAAACATGAAGGCAAGTGATCCTCAGAAATAGCACCAGCATAAGACAGTATTTTTTTTTTTTTTGAACAAAAAAAAAGGAAGCTCTGAGGTGTCATCACTGCCTCCGTGCGCCCAGGCCCCGAGGTAACCGGTTGCCGGCCTGATTTGACCCAACCCATAGAAAGAGACTCACCACCGAGGCACCAATGAAGCTCAACCATACGTCACATGAAAATTCTAATTGAACACCTTTCCAAAACTAGTCATTACCTGTTTGTCCACCACAGAGCTTACCTCTTCCTAACATTTGGAGCTCTAATACCATCCAACTGCTAAGTTACAGGAAAACCAACTAACAGAGTACTCACCCAGCTCCCAATAAGCTTTTGACCAAAGGACTACCCTGATTTTAATTGTTTCAAGCAATTCTTCCCAAGAACAAACCTTTCTTAAAAACCAAATTGTTTCTAGCTTTCCATACAGACCAAAAAGAACTGCAAAGAAAACACATTAACAAGGCTTACTCCATTCCTTAAAAAAATTTCTGAAAACAACCAAGTCATTAGCCCAAACACTATGGCTAGACACTCCCACACTATCTTCCACCATTTCATACATCTCATAATCTCCATACAAACTTACAATGTAACAACAAAGAAATCATATGTGTTAAACATCTTCATAATCTTCATACATTTAAAGAGGAAGAGAGACAATGGGTCTCCTTGCCTCAACCTTCTTTCAGAGTTAAAAATCTTTTGAAGCCAGGCAATTAGTTAAAACAAAGAAAGAGGTTGTGCTAATACATTAATACACCCCCATTTACACCATTTGTTCTCAAACCCATTTTGTTAAACATCAAGATCGAAAACTTCCAATTTACACAATCAAATGTGTTTTCAAAATCAACCTTCAAAACAAAACCACTTGTACCATTAGATTTCCAAGCATCAATCACTTCATTAGCAATTAGAACCCCATCCAATCTATGCCACACACACAGAAACTACTTGTGTTCCACCTATCACCTCATGCAACACATTTTTCAATCGGTTTGATGTCATGTCTTATTAGATCCTGATTTGTAACACTTCCTCAAACAACAAATTAGAATATATATAAAGCACACCTTTATTGATCTATAAGCCCATTAGCAAGTACCTTCTAAGTTCTTTATAGGCCACTACCTTTTGGAAAAAAATTACATAAACCTTCTAGATAAATAAGCAGCCACAAGCGACTACCTTCAAGAAAAGTACTTAGATATAGTTCTAGATAAACCAGCAGATAGAATGTGTTCTTCACTAACTGTCTAACAAGATCATCTTAGTTGTTTTCTCACAAGCAACAAGCATCTGCACAAATACATAAACCTTGCTCTCAATGGATGTGCACATAAGAGCATATCTTTGGTATACACCTATTAAGAATTCTTCACAGCTATTAAATCAACTGTCCTCCAACAGCTAAGTGCATTCTTTTCACAAATACAAGGCCAAGAGGCAACTCAAATGTACAAGACATCTGCTTAAGCATACCAAATTTATTCTATGGACACAGAAAATCCTTAACAATAAAACCATAAAGACAACATTTTAACAAATTATGTTAATGGCACACTAAAATTATGACTTATAACAACAAAGTAAGTTCTCCATTAGAAAGAATCAACCATCTTATGCCAAGGTAAGCATTCATTCAATGATTTTCTTCACTCAAATATTTCAATTTGCTTCATTTTTTTTCTTTTTTTCTTTTTTTCTTTTCTTTACTGGCGCGGTGATGGGGGGAATTTGGTTCTTTCTCACTTCATTTGCAAATGCCTTACAAAGTCTTAAGGAATTTTCAAGTATTTAACTTTTCTCCAAATGTTCGTCATGCCTAAACATGCATATATGCCCTATGCGTCATGACTTAAATATTAGTATGTGTTGAAAATTTTGATTTAATAGGAAAAAGGAAACATTTTAATTCATTCGGAAAAGAAGAGATGTCA